TAATGTAATTGACTAGATGAGGCATAGCCGCTTTCGAATCGATCCTCTGCGCTCTCAGCTATTCCGACATCTTGCCAAATTCATTATTTGTCTCGAAGGACCATGTCCCACTAGCAAAGCACTACACACTCTAAAAAAATATGGTTTTCCAACGGAAGTGAACCGCTCGAGATGAAATTTGTCGAACAACTGAACTTGATTTCTAACTGGGCGAGTGGAAATTTCTTCAGTTGGCTTCTTTTCGTGTGAAACGGCAGTGGCAGGGGGAAGGGGAAAGGGGAGCCCTGCACCGGGCCCTGTTTGTGGTCGAAGCTGCTTAAAAATTGATTAACACCTCTGCCATAACGAGCCTCGAATTACCAAGAGGCGTCTAACTGATATTTCCACTCTCGGGTATTCCGGCTCGTTGTTATGTGCTCTGGTGGTTAGCGCCTCTTTAATGAAATAGATGTGTAGTCTTCCACTGGCATTGAAGGGTGAGTGGCACCGATTCAGGTGGCGCTTTTGGGAGACTTCGGTTGAATGGGTTCCAAGTCAGGACTCGGAAGCTTACTTTTTGGGCGACATCTATCTCGTCAGGGAAGGGTATTGGTACATTCGTTCAATTCCCATCTCCGCCAGAACAATCTCACCTATTGAGCAAAGTGGTTAGCGTATTTCGGCCTTGTTTGCTCTCTTCTCGGCCCTGCCAAGCGTTTTTACTTACCAGCCGCATGTTAAATGCCCTAATTTCCCGACCACTTTGCTGTTGACTTTTGTGCGAGCGGGTCGGCTGCTGCTTTAGCACCTTGGTGCGATGTGGCCACAGTGCCCCCCATACGTCACTGGACACAGCCAGCCCCCGCCCCTGGAAAAGCCAGCGGCGGGCTGTGGTCTGTCAGTGTGTGCTGACATAATTGCGAGTGGATGTCAAATATTGCCTCTCGATTCCTCCGGCTAATGCCGTCCGTCCATTGACTTTGAGAGGCTGCCTGGCTGAGACGGGTGCCGAGGTGGGGAGCTGTAGGTGGCGAATGGAATTAAGAATGCCAATGAGCTAGAGTTCCGAAGCTGGCCCTGAAATTCCAAGATTCCCAGAACAAAGGATCTCATCTTTTCGCTATTCATTTATCGATTTCTGGGCTGGCGCTGTAATTGCACGAGGAATGCTCCCATTTGATGGATTTATGCCTCTGTGGAGGCATCTCCATCTCCATCCCTCCTCTCTCTCCTTTCCCTCATTACTTGTCTGTCACTTTTGATAATTATATGAGCGTTACACGCTACTTTCCCTGGAAATGGAAATGGAGATGGAAATGGGCATGGAAATGGATGAATTTCGTTGGCTTGTGTCAGTCACACACACTCACACTCATACAAGGCACCAGGTCCTTTCGATGGCTACAAGGATTTGCACTTAACCTGCTCCACTTGCAGCCCAACTCGGCATCAATTGAGATTGCAGGAGAGAGCTCAGGCGAAGGGGCTTCTCAAGTGGAAGCAATCGCTCAAGTTGGCAACCCTTTTTCTTAGGTATGTCTTGGCCCGATTCCTCCTACTGGCGGGTCTGACCCGCCGACTCCTGACGTCACCGCTGACCCACTTGGCGGAGCAGGAGCCAGAGGAGGGGAATCGATTCGATTCGCATTGGAATTCAAAGTGGAAGGCAGCGCCCAGTGGAGATAAAGAGGAGCACTTCCCATTTCGGATGCCCTGCTCACATTTCAATCTCGCTCGGGTTGCGTTCCCATTGATGAATATGCCAAATCATCGGGCACGTCCTCCATGGCGGAGGCGAGGGCGAGGACCTGTGACCCGGGCCCAGGACACGTGCTCCAAGCAAAACAAAAAAATTGGATGCGAATAAGGAAAAATGAAGGCACGCAGAGGAAAGTGGTGGCGGGAAAAGTTTTTCCATTCACTCTTCGTTTGTTTGGCGAGTTATTCTGTCAAAATTTATTTAAATATTCTGCCGAATTTCCCGGAACACAAACTTCGGGGGCCGAAACCGAAACAGAAAGTGAAAGTGAAGGCGAAAGGAGAAAGCGTTTCGCGTTAAATAATTTCCCCAACAGTCATTAAGTGCAACAAAAACACATTCTCGCTGGCAGCGACAAATGGCAGCAAATTGTGGAGCCCGCCAGAAAGGAGGAAAATAAATAAATAAAGAAAGCCAAGAACCCCAGGAACCCAAAGAACCTAAACCCCAGACCCCCAGACCCAAAGGCCCACCGTACTTACCCCATCAAGCGGAAACTCTTCTCCGCTTTCCCTAATTTTTCTTTTCCCGGTCTTCGGCAACTTTTCGTACTGCCAACAATTAATTGAAATTAACATATTTTTCTTCTTTTATTTGAGACAACTTATCCGGCACCCGATCTCCCCCAGCTCCCAGATACCCAGCCACCCATCCCCTTGACCGCAGCCCGTCGAGTCCCCCGACCAAGTTAATTTGCCGCGTCTGGTCCTTCCTTCGTCCTGAAAGTGAAAACGCCACGAGTTAATTTCCAGTGGCTGTGAAATTAAAATGTGGAAGTAAGCTCGGACTCGGCCAAATTAAATCCATTCCGGGCCGGCAAAGTTTCCGAATTGATTTTCGCAGGAACCTGACTAGCAACACCCCTTTCAGGCCAACTTTCCCATTAGGCTCAGTTCCGGGAATCCTCAAACCATCGCAGAAACTACCATAACCGAGAGCAACTCACTATCTGGGGGGGCCAAGAAGGCGGAAGATTATCAATCCGCCATAAATTCGGATTATCAATAGCCCTCATGGCTTGGGGCACGATTTTTATGACAAATCGCTGGATAATCCAGGCCGCAAATTAATTTTACAAAATTTTTTATGGCCTGTAAGTGAAGCGCTTTTATTTTTGTGGCACCTTTAATGGGCCAGACTAAGAGCTCCTCTTACCGCCACGGAATGGAGCCGAGGGGATTTCGCTCAATTCCCCTACCGAGATTCCCGGGAATCCATAACGGGAGGGAGTCCATGGCGGGGGGGCTCACTCAGTCACATAATAAAGGCACATTCCTCATACGCCACCGATTCCCCAGTTGCTCCATTTGGTGCGCTTTGAGTCGAGACCGAGACCGAGAGCCGGAGACCCCTCCGAGAGCTCACTTCTCTGTTTTTTGTTGATTTTTTATTGTTGTTGCTGCTCGTTGGGCTGCCTTTATGAAAAATTATACAAAACTTTTTACTTAGTGCCGCGCGGGCTCCGAACAATTACGAGGCCATCAGGGAGGAAGGTAGGAAGCCAGCCAGGGGCGGCGCAGAGGGGGCTGTGTTGGGTCGGGCCTGGCTGGGCCGTGCCGGTCAAGGGGCAAAGGTGGCAGAGGGTAACGTGTTTGTAATGTTTGTTTGCCAGCGGGCTTGTGTGTTTGATTTTCCCTCTTAAACGATGCGGAAAAGCGGACGGAAAACTGGCTTATTGCTGCGAAAATAAAATCTGTCACTTTTCCACTAATTAGGTCTTTTTATTTGAACTTTTTAGCATTTAAATAAATTGTTTATACAGCCCAAAAGTAGACTCTATTTTTTTTCAAAAGGGCTCTGCACTCTGGACTATGGACTCTGCTTCGTGATTGGAAACTGGCCTGTCCATTGTCGCTTCCACCTTTTCTAATTACGCACTTTTCTGAATTCTTTTCGGCTCTCAAATTGCCATTGGAGGCACCCATCCCCATCCCCATCCCCAGCCTGAATGCCCTTCCCTCCATACCACACCGACGCCTGTTGAGCGAACTTTCGGCATTTCTATGGAATTCAATTTCAAAGCTATATCATTTTCATTTAATTTCACGCTTTCAACCTGCGACCCACACAGGCTGGCTTTGTCCGGCCGCATCCCTTTCGCTCCCGCCACACGCCAATGCCACATGCTGCCCCCCACGTCCTACCCAGTAGCACCTCCTGCCTAACCCCCCTGCCTTCGGAAGCAGCCGCGGCACATGCCAAAGTTATGCCATAATGGATTTTTTTGTTGTTCGTCCTGCTTTCCGTTAGCCACCTATTGTCTGTAAAACGAAACCGTCCCTCCGCCGCCCCATCACACCTCTGCGGCGCCCATTTCCCGGCCGGATAGCTGCCGGGCCCCGCCGCAGAACTCCCGTATCCCCCGGAATCGGGCCGAGCCGTATCGAACCGCATCACTCGTCAATTTAGCACTTTCAACTGCACCCACGTGTCCTGCGGCCCGTACCACCTGCCCAAGTGTCCTCTGTGCCCTCTGTGTCCTGTGTCCTGGGAATGGATTGGAATAGAATAGAGTGGAGAGCAGAATAGAAGCAGGGTGGGAGGGTGTCTTTAAGGAAACCCAAGAAAAAGAAGAACTGCAAATCACCGCCTTGTAGGGCAAACAAGGATATCCCTGTCCAGGTTAAAGAGCAACACAGATTCAAGGAATCTGATTGCTCCTAGGAATCCGTGGAGGCTCCCTCAGATGAGAGTGTGAATCGAACATAATCGCGTCAATTAGGATTGCTCCATAAATATTCATACTCGCCGCTTCTGACAATATTTGGCCAAAGGTTTCGGCTGAAAGGAAGCCCATCCACTTCAGGGGCCAACAAAAGCCGGGCCTTAACCCATTTGGGGCGCTTAGTGGGACTTAACCCGCGCTTTTGTGCCGACTGACTGGCAGACTGGCAGCAGTTTTTCCAAAATGCTTCAAACAAACAATTTTCGAGCGCCCCCGGGCAATAAAGGGATTTTTCAATTTGCGAAAGCCTTCGATGTGCGATTTTCCAGCTGCTTTTGTGCGAGTTTGGAGGTTCAAGTGGGCAGGAGGGCAGGGCAGGAGCTTTTGAGGCAAAATTGGTCAGCAAAATGTAGTTTGGCGTGTAAATTGAGCAGTTTTTGCTGCTATATTCGCTTGGGCCCTTTGTTTAGCGTTCCGTGTGTTTGATGCCAATATTTTAAGGAGGGAGGAGCTCTGCGGAGAGCGCTTTTTAATCACTAAACTAACGTAATCAACTCTCTACCCCTCCTTTCTTTTCGCGTTTACTGCAATTCACAGCGCCAAACTTTCGATTAATTAAAAGTAAAACAAAAAGCCGACAGCCAACAGCCAACAGCCGACAAAGAACAACAAGGCTACTGGCGGACAACCACTACAAGATCAATACCAATACCGATATCAACAAAAATAACAACTCCTCGCCCCCCGGGAAAATAGGAGCCACACACAACAGCCACAGCCACATCCACAGACAGACACACCCAAAAAAAAAATAAATAGAAGGAAGAAACTTTGGCAGAAAATCAACATCGAAATGGAATTGGGCATCAGAATTGTCAATCAGCATTTAGCCAGCTACAACAACAGCAGCAGCATCAGCTCTACAACCAGCAATAGTAAAAAGCAAAGCGGCAACAGCAGCAGCAACGACGAATTGCAACAGCAACAAATAAATCCAAAAAACAGTGACAACCATATAACAACGATAACAGCAACCGCAGTATCATCGGAGGCAGCCACGACTGCCATACAGACAATAGACTACCCATTAGCAGGAGCAGCACAAGCAATAGTTGCTGCTCTGGCAACAGGATTAACTAGCGCCCGAGCAGCATTAGCGACAGCCATTGCAACTGCCGTCCACAGTCGAGCTGCCCAAGACCGCAGCTACAGAAACCACTTGGCCAGAAGCAACTAAACCAGAGACAACAACAACCAGATCAGCCAGACCAGCAACACCAGAACTAGAACCAGCAACAGCAATCTGCAACATGCAACGTCTACGCACCACCTTCACGCGTTCGCGCACTCCGACAGGAGCAGAAATGAAGATGCAGAACAGCCTCGAAGTTCCTAAGCAGGTATATTCGGAAGCCAGGCTCCTGGGACTCTGTAGATCCCTTTGGAGCCTAGACTGGGTCGACAAGTATAGAGTCTTAATCCTCGAATCGGATGTAGAATGTCTGCCGTCCGGCAGGATGTTTGTTTTACATTTTTGTTTCGTTTGAAGTCCTCAGTCCTTGTCCTTTATGTCCTTTTGTGTTGCTTTCAGTGGATTATCATTTTGTTGTGCGAGTTTTTAGTTTTTTGGCTTACCATTGATGTTGTCTTGAGTTTGTGGAGCTTCCTGATTTTGTGCCTTTGCATGTCCTGCCTTCCGTTTACGACCCACCTGTGATTCTTCCCGACCGCTCGTTGCAGGTGCGCTCGGCCTCCTTCGACGAAATGCAACTGGAGGCGCAGCGGGCCTCCGCCCAGCTGCTGAAACAGCAATCCTCCTCCTCCGCCTCGGCGGACGAGCGCTCCTCGGAGGCGGGCTTCCTGCAGGTACCGCTGGCCGCCCACCAGCAGCGGTCGCACAGTTTCGACTCGGCGGCTGCTTCCGTGGGCAGCGACGATTCCGGCACCTTCTTGGAGGTGCCCCGCCGACTGAAGGCTCGACGCAGCTCCTCCACCAAGACGCCCCCACCCTGCATCCACTGTCACTACCTGGAGGAGTACGAGCGCCGGATGACGGCGGAGCAGCGCTACTTCATCGACCACCGTGAGCTGAGTGCCTTGAGCAACACCAGTTCGGAGGTGAGCGAGGACGAGGAGGACGACGACGACGAGGCAGAGCAGGACGAGGAGGGCGAGGCAGCGACGGGCGAGACGGAGTCTTCGGATTTGGCCTCGGGCCAGGATGAGGCCAGGGCCCTCGAGTCGGAGCACGAACATGACCCAGACGACGACGCAGCCGAGGAGATGGACATCCGGATTGGCAACATGAGCCTGGGCAGCAGCATCGAGGAGTCCCGCGCCCGGCTGCCACGCCAGATGCGGCGGCACACCATCGGGAGCAGCTCCATGACTTCCGGCACCTCCGAGGACGAGGGCCTGGAGAACTCGGACCACGGATCGCCCCACTTTGGCAACACCCTGCTGCCGCCCCAGCCGGCCACACCCTGCGGCATCACCTTCACCCTGAGCCCCACTAACGGCGACTATCCCTCGCCGCCCCTCTTCCCCATCGATCCTTCCTCGCCGCCTCTCTCGCCCAGCCCCCTGGTGCCGCCGGCCATCGCCTCGATATCCTGCACCGCCGCCGACTCTGAGGACGCCGGAGCGGCCATGGGCCTCCCGGTACGTACCCGGCGGCGCTCCATTTCCCGCCAGGAGGCGGTGTTCGTGGAGCCCACCGGCAACTCCCTGGAGAACGTGTCCCACGAGGAGGTGGACAACAACAAGTCGTCCGTAGAGACCGCCGACTCGATGGACGAGGCCTCCACCATGGCCACCTGCGGCTCGCCAACGATCTCCCCGTTCTTCGCCGGCGGCACCACCGGCGGACCACCCAGCTCGAGCCTCCACAGCGCCTTCGTGGTGCGGGACATCTACTTGACGGTGCCGGACCTGAAGCGGGACCGCGCCGCCTCCGTAGACTCGTGTTTCTCGAAGCTCTCGTCAGGGCCGAAGGCGGAGGAGTTGCAGCCGAGCGCCGACGGATGCTTCCTGACCGTGCCGAACATCAACGCCACCCGGTCGCGGTCCGTCGACATCGTCCTGCCCACGGACGAGCAGGCCCGGTACAAGGCACTGGCCATGACAGGATCCACGGCCACCTACACAGATGGGTATGTATGGGTTTCCTTAGCCTTCTGGCGACTGGACTAGCGTTCTTTTCTTGCGTTTTGTTCCAATCTTTTTATTTGAAAACCAAACACACAGAGGAGGAATCTCATTTAAGGACACTGGAGTGCTTTAAACCAGGACCTCCGTTGCCACACTTCCTTTGTCATTCGAGACTGACGGAGAACAGCATTATTTACATATTACGTAGAGTTCGGCAGACGTTTTGGGCTTCCTATTCAAAATTGGGGATCTCCGGCCAAAAATAAATCCTGGGCCCGGTCGAGAGAGCTGGGCTTCCGCCCAGCAGCCCGCCCAGAAACACTCTTTAATGGCTTACTTTCTTTGTTTACTTTCGCCTTCCCTTTGTCCTCCATGGAGGACCCACGACCCTACCCCGGCTGGGTGGCTATTTTTGGACCGGCAAACTTTTAAATTGACTCATTAAAACGAGCTTAACACGTGGCCCTGGCTAGGATTAAGGGATCAGTGGCGGACGGACTCTGCCGGACCGGGGTCCGGCTCATAATTGGGGCTGTTTTGTTTGGATAAATTCCTGACTTGGACTGGAGCTGGGAGCTGGGAACCGGAACCCTGACTTCCTTTTTTTGCGGTCGCAGCTATCCCACTTGACCTGCCTAGGAGTGATGGGTGACACGTGTGTTTTTGGGCGACATGTGAGGCTTGCCTCCTACGGTGTCTGCCAGCCAGCTTGCTTGCTTTTCCTCCCATCGGCCACTGGTTGGGTTTCCGTAGTCCTTGTCCGCTGTCTGGGTGTGAGCCTACGTCCGCCAAGTTAAGCCTAATTAGAAACGAAACTACAGTTCCAGTTCCAGTTCCAGGCTCCCTCCATCGCTGCCTCCGGCGATTCATAATTCTCGCCATGAGCGACCCTCCGAGAGCACTGACTGCCAGTGCTTGAATAAATTATGGCTAGTCCGGAAAAAAACCCAGAATTGGGAGCTCTATCCAAGGGTTATTTCAATACAATGGATACCCTTTCAAGAAAAGTAATAATAGATCCATATTTTTAGACTTTGTTTATAGGTTTACTTGGAGTATCTTAGTAACTTATCTTAGGAGTATCTTAGGTAGTTCTTTTAAAAATTTGTACAAAGTCAACTCCCAAAAGAGGCATACCCCACGAAAGGGAAGGAAAATTGGCTCAGCCAACCGATTTCCTTGAATTACAACAAAAGCCGCTCATAAATAATATTCAAACAAAGTGTCCCATGTCCCGTGTCCGCTGTCCGCTTCGCGCATCCCACTGGCCCATGCCACTGAAAGGACGAAAGAAGCATGCCCAAAGAAGCCCAAGAAAGTGAGGTGTGAGAGTGACGAACCACTTGCGGCCAATTTGTTAGCCTGTGGCTCAGCCACGAGGGCCGGCAGGACTTCCCGGTCCCGGTCTGGGTCCCGGGCAAAGGACCCGATATGGATATGGATAATTCAGAAGTTGCCTCTGATGGATTAGCTAGATTGGGACTCCGGGTGCGTGTGTGCCTTCCTGTGGCGCCGACTTGTCCTGAAACTCGATTCCGTTCTGCGGAAAATTAATAAGCTTAGAGCAGGCTATCGGGACATCTAATCCTTGACTGGGAAGGGACAAACACGAATACGTCTTATAGTTTTCAGTTTATTCATTTGCTTACACACTGCTGAATATTAAGTAACTTTAGTTTACTTTTCGGAGGGATATTGATGGGCATTTCATTCATTTCCTGCACTTGTATTACGAAAAAGCTATTCCCTATAAATAATACTTGGTTTTTGTTTTCTATTTGCAGGTATGTACTGAACGATTACCCCCAGATCCTTTTGCGCTCACAGATAAGTACTGAAAATGGAAATTAGTTGGAAGTGATATTATTGCAGGTATTAAAATGCGGTTCCGAGTCCTTTCATGGCGGGGACATCATCTTTTTTAATTTCCGATTGCTGTTGCCCCAATTTACGGCCATTTGCAGCCCCTGCGGTACAATACCCATTAGAATCCGTCTCTCCGGGGGCGCTCCATTAGACGGCAGTAACTGAGGTGGGGGGGTTGGGAGCCCGTCATAAAGTTGGATTTGTTGATTTACGATACCGAAGCGTGACACGTTATTATCGGCCCGTTTGTGGCTACCATTCCGGGCATTCCGTGGCGTTCCCTTAGATGCCCATTGACCACTGACTGATATGTTTAATTTACTCCAACTCCCTATACCAACTCCCACTCCCAATTCCGTTCCGTATCCGGATACGGGTCCAACGACCCCTCGGTCGATAAAATGGTAAAATATTATAAAATCATTCAATCATGCGACAAACTCCGGACTCCGGACACTGCAGTCATTCATTCTGGCTCTCGGATGCGGTCTGCAGTCCAATCACGCCTTCCCCCACTGGAAGAAAGATTGCCAATTTCGAGTATGGTCCTTCGAGCCAGCCTGGGAGGCTATGGAAGTCGTATTTCGCTCAGTGTGCGAGGCACTCAGCCATGCGTTCCGTTCGCCTTTCTTTGGTTTCTTCGGCCTGTGTCCCTGAGGCGTGTGCGGCTCATTCATGCGACTGTCGAGTCCTCAGACAATCCCACCCCACTTCACCCACACACAGCCCCCGTCTAAACAACAACAAGCCGAACAACCCAAACACAAGCCCCGAAACATCGAAGACAACAACAGAGACCACAAAAGCAGCCATCGAACAAGAAGAAACAGAAAGTTAACTCAACTTTTATGACAATGGGGCAAATAATTTTATGAAAATACTCCCCCGGGGGGAACTACTGCACAGGGTACAGGGTACACGTAGTCCCAGGCCCAGAACGGTTGCTTGGCTCTTTATTTTGACTGGTTTTGGATCTGGATCCAGAAGTTTGGCAAACATGAAATTAGCATACAGGACTCGGGGGAACGCGATTGTGTTTCACAATTTCTTTATTCCCTGATTGGGCTAACGATTCCCGAAATCGGGGGAGTAGGGGATGCTTTGGGCCTAATTCTCGGGCTTTTAAGATATTGGGACTTCTGATTTGGCCATCGAGGCCATATCCCAATAGTTTTTCTTGGGGGAACTTGAGGCTAGCACCTGAAAAAAAATTGTATTTCCATTTCTCCAAAACCAGAAAGATGATAAATGATTCGCTTTGTCCGCCCTCAGTTCCAGTTCCAGTTATTGTTTGTATTTTTGGTTCTTGCTTCATTTTTTGTTGCCCAGTTCCGCGTGTTGCTGACGCACGCGGCATGCAACAGGGGCAGCAACATCGGCGGCCAAGCACTCTGAAAAATCGTACATATATTTGGTAATAATTCAATGCAACTATAGGTTGGTGATCTTAGTTTGGACAACCGTTTCTCGCTGTGTAGGAACAACAATAATCATCTACTTGGTGCCTCAGCCACAATTAAGTTTTTGTGAAATATTTGCTTGGTCTTTTTTTGCGCGTTTTCCTCTGCCACATCTACGTCAGCATGGGATGTGTGGCGGCTGGGGCAGTGTGGAGCTGGGGGGTGGTGGGCGCGTGGCGGGGGCATGGAACAGAGCAGAGCTGGCCAGACCAGAATTGAAATGCAAATTGAAAGGCACAAAGCGAAAATATGCCAAGCGAATCTGAGCAATCAAGGCGGGAGACAAAGTAGCGACCGCAGCAACGTCAGCGACGACGTCACTCGACGCCGACAGTGGCAGTGGCAGTGGCAGAGGCTGCGGCAGCACGACCGCGCTGTGTAGAAAATGTCACCAGTTTTGGGGCCGGAGGGAAATTCGCATCCAAAAGTCGCGAAGATCGCAGCCAGTGATGGCAGGTGTGGGCCATAAAGATCATAGCTATCTAATCTATCAGCCCCTATCGCTATGATAGCTCATTCCTATCTAATAGTGCCTTTATTTTCAAGTTTTCCTCTTGAAAGAGTCTTCTTTTTGTTATCCCAAGTACCGGGTATTTATAGCCTTCTTTTGTGGGCAATTTTCCAGTTAGATCGATCATCCCTGGTGGGGAAAATTCACCACGCAGCGCATTGAGGTGACAAAGTTTCTGCCTCAGCCTCCGTCGCTGCCGCGGCCTCCGTCGCTGCTCGTGTTGACTTTGATCGCTCGCTGGGCCGCTCAGTCGCCTTGTGCGGTTGGATGCTGCCGCCCGCCAACCCAAAGAACCCCACAAGCAGAAGCAAAAGCAGAAGCCGAGAGGAAATCCGGGAGAACGCTACCCTCGCGATGTGAAAGCAGTTAGCAATTAATTGAATAATGAAGCGAATCGCGGGCCAGCGAAAGCCCAGTGTGGAAGAGTGTGACCCCGAGCGGCACAGACCGCAGAAAAGTGTGTGCCTTGCCTGGGAAAACAAACAAGAAAATTAAGAAAATAATCGAAAGTGTGCAAACAGCAAACAGCGAACAGGGAAAGCGGAAAATCAAATCGAAACGAACTGAACTGAACTGAAGAACAAAACAAAAGCCAGAAAGACCGGGTCAGATGGTGTTCGGGTCAATTAATAGCTTCGGGACGGGTCAGAGATACAAAGATGCCAAAAATACCGAAAATTCCCAGAGTGTTTTAATTGAGCCAAATGGACAAATTGTAATTAATTTAATCAATGAACTTGAAACGTGGACCAGCAATCGACAAGAGTCAGGGGCGGAGAGAGTTCAGTTCAGTAGCTAGCCGATGTCAAGGGGTGCTCTAGGCATCATCATGTGGGGCCCGAGATCGTGAATAGACTTCGAGCATGTCAGTGGCATATTCTTGGCAGGCCTTCAACTTGCTCCGGACTTTGGCCCAATCGCAATTATTAAGTATTTACAAGATACTTGCCCGAAAACGCCCTGTACACATGTTCCCAGTAGTAGAGGACATCCTGATGCCAACCATCCAGAGGATGAGCTTCGAACAATCAAGATTTTATCGCCCCCGGGAGACAATGCATCTTTAATTCGATTTTAATGGATCTTCGGGTGATATTTTCCATATTTCGGTTGCACTTGTTGATAAATAGAAAGCCGAAAGCCATCAAATAGATAATAGCTGTTC